ATTTCGGAAAATCATTTGACTGCCTTCCCGATTTAATTTTTAGCTGAAATTTGATATGGGTAAACTAGACTTAATGAAGAAGATGCTCACAACATTTCATCAAAAAATTCAACCGGGAACCGCTCCAATTGGCGACGGCCAGGCAGAACCTCCTATATAAGAGGATAATTGAACACTTTAAGTTAGTTCATGTACCTATTTGACCCTTTAGCCTTTTACCTACTAGGTAATGAACCGGTCATTGACACGTGACGACACGTGACATTTTTTCCTTTTCTTTTTCTTTGTTTTCTAGCTTCTCTCCTTCCTCCTTCCTCAAACCTCTCTTTTCCGTTGACTCTTTCTTCGCCCTATGGGTTAGTACGTTGCTGCCTCCCCGTTTCCTATTTGGCTTAATTACGCCCCAAAGCTACCCCTGTTTCCCACTTTTCTTTTATTTTTGAATTTTGATATACCATTCAATCCATGGATAAACAAAAAAAATAAGAACAATAAACAAAATAATAAACTGATGGAGAAGATCGACACTTGAAGAGACGGAAAGTTGGTAAGAGAGGATGATCTGACAACGTTCGGTGAAGTTGACTGGCACTCTCTTTGCCAGAAATTGGCCGGAGAAGACGACCGGCGGTCGACCCAGCTTCTACGGCTTTGCCGGAGGTTGGTTGGGGAAATAAGACTGACTCTCAAATGCGACTGGTGATTGCAAAATAAAGAAGAAAAGAAAGAAAGAAAAATGCAGGGGAGAGGGGGAGTGCGAGAGAAGAAAAGGGGATGGGGAAGAAGAGAGAAGGATAGAAAATAGATTAAGGAAAGAAAATGAAAAACAAATAGAAAAAAGAAAAGGAGAAAATACAAAAATTGAATGCCACATCATATATCTTGAGCAGGGCCGTCTAATGAATTTGGAGGCCCCGGTTCTAAATGTAAAACAGAGGTCTCAAATTAATATTATTTTTTTTTTTAAATATCAAACTAAATACTTATGCTCAAATAAATTGAATACTCATTAAAAAGAACTAAAAAGAGTAAAAGGACCAACGAAAAAATCATGCATCTATATTTTTCTTCCTTACTAATTGTATTTTACTGATTAATATTAATATATAATATTACTCCGTACTATATAATACTAAAAGAAATTTAAAAATTTGGGGCCCCATAAATTCGGGGCCCTGTTCTGGATAACCTATTGAACCCCCTAAAAAACGGCCCTGATCTTGAGCTGGAACCGGAATGTTACCTGCTAGGTGTGGGCGCGGTCCGAAACGGTCCGATAAATTAGTAAAACCCGTAGTGTATCTGTGAGTTTTTTAACGGTCCGGTTCCAAGGATGGAACCGTTCGGTACCATTTCGCTTCAGAACGACATAAAGCGGTACGGTACAATGCCAAACACATGCTATTTTTTTTGAATAAATCTTACAATTAGTATATATCATCACACCAACCAACTCACATGAAATGTTGATATAAATACAAGAAATTGCATGCGTAATACTAAAACTCACAACTACACAAATATTGCAACACAACTAAGAAAAAGAATAGCAAAACGATGACGCACGAGATAAATATCATCTTTAATTTACTAAGTTCATGTGAAAATATAAAAAATAATATAATATACATAGTATTAGAGATCTTCAACGTTCTTCTTCTTCGTTCTATGTTACTCTGTAGTTCTTATTTAATTTATAGTTGAACCTTGAGAGCTAAGATTTAAGCTATATTAATTAAGTTGTAAAATTGCACAAACATGATACAACAAAAAGTCATGTACACAACATTACTAGCAATGAATAGTCATTAATGATTTTTAAAATTCTAATATTCTTTCGATCAACACATACTAAAATATAACATAAATCATCTAAAAAGAAAAAATAACAATATATATAAACACACATTTAGCTATTTTAGGGACGCATAAATACATGCTTGGGCTATAAAATTGGTGGTCTATAAAAGAGATCTATTAGTATAGAAATATATAAAAAATTCAAATTAATTATTTTCGAACGGTTCGGTCCGGTATATTTCGGTTCTCAAAATCTAGGACCGGTCTCGTATTCGTTTCAAACGGTACGGTTTCGGTACGGGACAAAAATCTATAGAACTATTTAAATACCCGATATTCGGTTCGGTACCATTATGAGATAGTTCGGTATCGGTTCGGGTTTTATGCCCACCCTTATTACGTGCTAAAAAGCCACTTTGATATTTTTACTGGTTTATGGGTCTAATTATTGGGTGATATTTGGGTTGATGCCCTTAATTGACATTTTTCCCCTCAAGTAATAAAAGCTTATACGGTATACCTTGTGAATTGTGAGATGGTAATTAAAATTGGGTTAATTGGTAGCGCAAACAATTTTTTTGCTCATACAAAAGCAGTAAATTAATTATTTAGAGACTTCACTTTCTCTCGCTTAATTAGTAGGAGTGTTTGGATCTACTTCTTAAAACTGCTTCTGCTCATTCAGAGAGCAGAAACAGATACTCCGTATTAAAGTGTTTGGATGGAATTGCAAAAGTACATCTGAGAGTTCGGAAATGCTCCTTGAAACACTTTTTCTTTAAACCGAGGGACACCATCTTCCGAGTACTTATAAATATCCACCCCGTTGTACTCAAAATTCGGAGTATCTGTAGGTTCCTATTCTACAGTAGTCAGTAGAATAATCCTTTTATACTAATATTCTAGCACATAACAATAGGCAAGTAAGGAGTATTTAACTAAGCCTACACCTCTAACTTTATAGAGTTTTTCTACACCTCTAACTTTCTAAAGTGAGACCTGCTACTCCTAGCTAGGGAATATACTCAATATTTGATTCAAATACCAAGTATGTTTTAGTATGTATATACTTAATCACGCCTGCATGCACGCCTGTACGGTCATGAATCTCATTTGGGATATAATAATAGAGTTAATTATCAAAATAGGACTAAAAGTCATTCACTTTGCACAAATAGGACCAAAAAATAAACTATATTTACATATGACTAATTATGTGTGTCTTGGACAAATATACCCTTATACCTATTGGAATGTTTTAATTCATAATAAAAAAATAAAAAATAAAAAAAATTCGTAAAATATACCAAAAAATTAATAAAAATATTTTGAATAATAATAAATTTAAAAAAAAATAAAAATAAAAAAAATTAAAAAAAAAAATTTAAAAAAAATTAAAAAAAAATCAATTTTTTTTTGTCACCTCCGCCTCTGCCGCCCCATCACCACCACCTCTAGTCATTTGGGGAAAAAATGCCAAATTTATTATGAATTCCATATTTTTGGCATAATTCAGAATGATTTAAAATGGAAGAAAAAAAATGTTGGCATTGTCAAAGAGAAATATGCCATATTTTTGGCATTTTCCGAAAAAAATGGAAGTTTGTAGGAAATATGGCATTTTTTTTTAACGGTCGGAGGTGGTGGTGCAGGGAGGCGGTACCACCACCTCCTGTCACCGGGGTAAAAAAATGCCAAAAAATTTATGAATGCCATATTTTTGGCAAAAATCAAAAGGATTCAAGTTGGCAGAATGAAAATGTTGGCATTCTCATAGAGAAATATGTCATTTTTGTGGAATTTAAAAAAAGTGGCATTTTTTACACCGATCGGAGGTGGTGGTTCAGGGAGGTAGTACAGGCGGTGGGAAAGGTATCCATATTTTTTTAAATTTTTTTATGGAGTTTTACTTTTTTTTTTTATTAATTTTCAAAAAAAAAATTAAATTTTTTTTCTTATTTTTTATTTTATAAAAATTTTATTAATTTTTTTTATTATTTTTCTACGAATTACTGAAAATTTTTCAAATTTATTATGAATTAAACATTTAATTATGACTTTTAGCTATCTTTTACTAATATTTAAAGGAGGGGTAAGAATGGAAGGAAGAAATGGGTATGTTTCCAATAGGACCACTATGGTCCTATTTTGGAATAAAAAACATAGCAAGTCCTATTTTGAGTTTTTGTCATAGTTTTAGTCCTATTTGAAGTAATTTCTAATAATAATATCCCAACTTAATCATAACCTAGTATATATATATATATATTTAGTTTATAACGGTGCTCATTATTTAAAAAAAAAGGATGACATCATCCCTGAGGGCCTCCAACACCGACTGGACGGCACGATGAGAGGATGTAAATTGAATTATAATCACAATCTAACAATGGAGAGTGGGGCTCCGTCCCCCGGTCCCCGATACTTGGGGATGCCCTCTATTGAGTAACCTCTCATCACAGTGGCCAGTTGTCGAACCCGAAATCTAACCCTTGTGGCCAGCGCTGTTCCTAGCAATTTTTTGGCCCGAGTCGAATTTTGGTAAAAGGCCCTTGAATAATGTAAAATTTGGATATTAAGATTTGTAAGCACTAATTTAATTTATATGCCTACATCAAATAATTAATCCCACATAGTTCCATGATATTATTTTGATTAATAGTACTTGTACTGTTGTTATATCTTAATAAAATAGAAAAAAATTGTATATACATAATACTAGAATTCAATTATTCATGGGCCCTTATTATTGACCAAATTTTTGGGGCCTGAGGCAATTGCCTCTTTGCCTCAAGAGATGATTCGCCCTTACTTGTGGCACTCCCTCACTATCAGTTGAGCTACGCCCACCGGTGGTGCTCATTATTTAATACTTCATAGTTTATTAAAACAAGTGTTTAACATTTAATATCTTTATCAAACTATATATATATTACCAATTACACAGTATTATCATGCAAAAATGTTAATAATATCTTTACCATGTTTCACATACCAAAAAACAATGATATGAATTTTATAGGATTAATTAATATTTAATGTTTAATAAGGCATCATATCAATTCACATCATTTATTTTAATACTTCCACATAAAAACCCCAATCATACTTTTCTAATTAAAATGCGTAATTAGCGAAAAATACGTAGTAATTATTTAGATGTTAAAATGCATATTAAGAGGAAACTTTTTAAACCTCACCTGAAATTACGAGTTGGTGGTCTGATGGCGGCCACCACGTCCGTCTCCGCCGTTAACTATCTTGTGATATCCTTAAATATTCATCAGCAGGGAGAATGAAAAAGGACTACCAAAATACGGGCAGCTGCGTGATCTTAATACGGAGTATATAAATGTACTTAATTTTGTTTGTTTTCTTTCATTTTGTTTTTATGCATGGAGGAGGATAATTGGTAGGTATGATATATACACGTACGTAGTACTAGTACTCGTATATTATTGCGTAGCTCGGAGACGTGTCATGTACATCCCTCCATTAAAGATGTGGGTGTGAAGATAAATTAATGGACCATTCTTGGTGTACACAAGATGTACACAAAATGTGTACATTGTCTGTGTACACAGACAATTTGACATCAAGTCTTGTCCCTTTTTAAATGAATTGCCTGTGTACACAGGCAACTAGGGAGGTTTTGTGTACAATTTGTGTACAACTTGTGTACACTAAGAATTTTCCTAAATTAATGGAATAATGGTAGCTGAAGTATTATTAAAGTAGTCACAGACTCACAAGTGAGGGTCAGTTCTGTTCCATATTGTACACATAACAGCATGTATGTGCGTGTCTTCCTCTAGTTCACTTGAAAAGATATGCCACTATATGAATAGAAACAAGGCTTTTTAAATAAAAAATCAATTAATACGGCAATTCTCACTTTTTGTCTTTTTCATACCACAAAATCAATTATTTAGGATGTGTTTACTTGGACGTTATACGTTCCGGATCAGATCAGATCAAATCAGAATAGATTAGACCAGACCAGACTTGGATAGTTATAAAAATACAAAGAAACCAGACATTGCTAGACCAGACCAGACCGGATCAGTCCAGACCAGACCCGACCAACAAATTACAGTCCAAGTTAAAACATCCTTAGATCCCGTTTGGCAAATTGAATTCGGCTGAATCGGTTGATTCTGCTGAATTTATGAAGTTCTGGCTGAAGTGACTGTAATAGCTAATTCTGCTGATTTATGAAAAAATTATATTTAAAATAAATTTTATTAATAAAATATAGAAAAAATTAAATGAAAATAGCTAAAATGGTCATCTACAGTAAGATCAGCCAATATAGCCAGAAAAGTAACTTCAACCCACTTTTTCTTGTTATTACACAATTCATCGCGCAAAATCAAAAGTTACGTATTTGGTTGAAAAGTTGGCCGATAAGCCGAAAAACAAATCGAGTCATCAAACATGCTCTTAACGTGTCAATATAGATTGATAGTAAAGATTATATTTTATGTATTCTAAAAGTATACTTCGGATCCGCTTAAATTTTTGTCATATCAGATAAACTAAATTAAAGCGAAGATTTTAAAATACACGTAACATGCTCTTTATGTGGTAATTTTATTTTTACTAATAATTATGATTTTAAAAGTCAAACATTCTGATGTAAAAAAAAAATTCAGAGTTTAATTTTTTTGTTACTTCAGATCTATTTTTGAAAAAATTAACTCAGACATATAGATAAAAATATTCTTAAGAATATTCTTAAAATTTTTCTTACCATGAGACTATAATTTTAACACTTGGATTTGCTTAAGAAAAAAGTTGAACCTAAAAATATACAACTAATATTTTTAAAAAAAATTATATATATAATATTGGTGTCATATGAAAGAGAATAAAAAATTATGAATTTTGATATATTTTTTGTAAAAGTTAAAATATCAATTAAGAAATTATAAAACTTCCAAATAAATTGGGGATTTTATTTAAAGTGGGCCCATGCATCAGCTTCCCTCAAACGCACCACAGCCATCCACTTCTCTCAAAGGGTGAGGGCCCAACTACTTTCTGTCTTGCGCAGGGAGAGTCAATTGGCCGTCTACAAATAGCTCCCCACCGTTTTCTATATTGTGGATGAGACCCGCCCATATATTTTTTGCTCCGCGTTGCAGCTCTTTTGGGAGTGAAAACCTCACATTTGGGATTTCACTCTCCCCCATTGCAATCAGCCTTAGAGCGTACTATTGAGTATTGACATGGCTCCCACATAAAACTATTTAATGATTCGGCTCCCACTTCAAAATAAAAAATCATACAATGAGTATTGAAAATAGAGTTGGCATGCCATACGGCATTACGGCGTGGTTGTACCCTAATAAAAAATAGGAGCTTTCATTCATTATTATTCTCTATCGATCAAAATAAAATGAAAAAAATAACTTTTGGTATTACTAAAATTAAATTATTTTCCAATTATAAGCCTAATAAGATTTTTTCCAAAATTATTTTTAAACTAGTTAGATTTAATTAATATATTACTAAATAAATAATTAAATAATTTATATGGACTAATTAAAAATAACCTTTTCCAATTTAGAATGTTGTTACTACCGTCCGGAAATAATTGTCTTATTTTCTTTTTTGTGATGTCACAAAATAATTGTATAGTTTTCTCTTTGGTAACAATGTGTGGCTCATATCAATTCACATTTTTTATTCAAATCTCAATCACAACTTTTGCATTTCTAACCGCTTTCTAAAAACTTGTGCTAAAACAAGCAAGATAATTATTTCAAGGCGGAGGAAGTATAAAACTCTAACTTTCTACTCCTTTTCTCAAACTCTAGTCTCCCGCCGCCCCACCCGCACATTTGTACGTCGCATGGCTGCCTGCTGCCGCGCCTTTAGTTGCACGGCCGCCTACCACCATTGTCTCTGCCAAGGTCCGGCTCGGGACCGGATCGAGGCTGGACTGGATTGGTACCAGGAACCGGCCCAGGCCTGGATTTAACTGGGACAGACCCAGACTTCTCCTACCACTGACCGAGACCGGTGATCTGGATTTAACTAGGACAGACCTGGGCTTCTCCTACCCCTGACCGAGACCGGTGACTTGAATTTAACCGAGACATACCCGGGCTTCTCCTACCACTGACTAAGATCGGAACCGAGTCCATCCCTACCTGTCGATGTCGACATTCTCAATATTTCATCACCGAATATACAAAATAATGAAGGTTTTTCATCTTCATTATACTTCAATCACTAAAAAAAATTAGAGGATTGACATGGAGTTTGACACATATTTACCGATTTTTCATGCCGAATAGCTTCTGCCAAAGTGTTTTCAAGACTTCTTGTTGTACACACTTTTATACCCACCTGCTTATACCCACCATGTTTGTGAAGGGTATTTTGTGTCTGTGAATCCAATTCGCAGACAAAATAATTTACACAAATATATTTTGTCTGTCACGCCTCGGACCGCGTGCGTGCCACGTAGATAACCGCCGTACAACCCAATAAGAACAACGTCGTTCATTCTTATTAAATCATACAAGGCGTCCGTTAAGTTCTATTGCCAAACCGATTAGTAAACCCATACAATCAACATCAATATATATTAGTCAAACCAATGCGGAAAATAAGATATGTTTGGTACTTAGCCACACGTGGCGAATACATGCACGCAGACCCCCAAATGTTTTAATAGAAAACATTGTCGAAATATCCATGAGCAATTATATTGTTTCAAATGAGAATGGAAGCACGAACCACGTCTTCCTTATTGATGATCACCCTAGGCAAAGGTGCAGGAATAGGTCCCAAGCCTTAACCTGAAAAATGTGAGGGCCCCCAAAGGGGTCAGTACTCCATAGAAAGTACTAGTGACAAGCAGGCTATATGAGGAATAACTAATGTTTCAGACACGAGACCCAAAAATAGGATGATAAATATATTTATAGGTGTAACCATTGTTACCCCCTTCCCAAGATAATACATACAGTATATACTTGTAAAATACTTGACCCGTAGGTCGTTATCTCACAAAGAGTCTTTTAGAGATAAGGTACTTACCCAACCTTTCCCCTTTCATTCCTGAATGCCTAGCTCAAGGGCTACATTCTACCTTCATAATATCCTACCGAGTTTCGGGAGTGTTTACCGTCCCGGGGATGCTCAACCCCAACCGAGTTTTTGGGATTGTTTACCGTCCTGAGGATACTCAACCTCACCGAGTTTCTGGGATTGTTTACCGTCCCGAGGATACTCAACCTCACCGAGTTCTTGGGATTGTTTACCGTTCCGAGGATACTCAACCTCACCGAGTTCTTGGGATTGTTTACCGTCCCGAGGATACTCAACCTCACCGAGTTTCTGGGATTGTTTACCGTCCCGAGGATACTCAACCTCACCGAGTTTTGGGATCGTTAACCGTCCCGAGGGTACTCAACCTCAACCTTATTCCTTACCAACCCTAACTTGGATATGGCTAACCTTTCGTTCACTTAACTATGGACAATACCTAGTCCTATAGTCATGTAACAATCCTTAGTGACCAACGTGGACGGGTCCCACCTGATCGGTCCACGTTATCCTACTCAAAAACTACTCGTTTTGAGTATAACCCAATACCCGGTCGGGTATCAAACCTTACCCGGTCGGGTAGGGCGGGCAGTAGCCCCTGGATGCCAATTTCACTTGAGACCCGGTCGGGTCCATGCCCTTACCCGGTCGGGTCTAGTGTGGCAGTGGCTTCTGGAGCCATTTTTAATCAATACCCGGTCGGGTATTTACCCATACCCGGTCGGGTATCACCCTTGTCTCGGCGGTCAACGCCCGTTTGACCGCCCAAACGAAGTCCGATTAACGTGAAATTTTATACACATGTACTTCTTAACATCCTTGATCCAAAAATACCATTTTGGATCCCTGGGATATCGTACATAATAAGTTATCACATTTTAAATCACCAAACATACATAACATGCTTTTCAACTATGTTTTATGGTTAAACATGGCATAAGCAAATACTTGATTATCTTTAATCACTCCATAAAACATATTTTTGATTACTTTAGGTAATCTCATGCCTCAAGCAAAAGTTATAAAGCATATAGCCGTCTTCTCACCTTAAAGAAGCTTATGAAGTTCTAGCCTTCCTTATTGAGCTCCGGTGAAACTCCGGTGAACTTCAACTAACTCCGGCGACAACTCCGGCGACCCTTTCAACCCCGTGAAAGTTCTTGAGATACCTTACACAAGTTAATAACAAGGTTTTATCATCATAAAACCCATATCAATACAAATAACCTCTAAAAGGTTATTTTCCAACAAACCGGTCAACTTTGTTCTCTAAATCCGTTTTGGATATGAACCAACCCTCCAACCCCTCATTCTTTACGTATGATGTGAAGAACAGTCCTATGGGTATGAAATATGATTACATAATCATAT